GTACGCTTTGGAAAGTCTTCATTTAACCACCGTGTCATTTGAGCAGGGGAGATGCGGCTTCCAGTTATTGACACTTAAAGTAAAGGGAAATCATGAACGCTAAATTACCTCGCGATATGCACCTCGAATGTGAAAACACACCCTCACTCAAAGTCAATTGTTTGTCTGTGTTGATCCGTTTGTGCCTTAAAGTGAGAGGTGTTGTGTCATAGAATTGTAGTTTCGCCTTTTATCTGAATCTTCATAAGCTTAGACTGAAGGGTTAGCAAAAATAAAGTGAATAATGGGACGTAAGCGTAGGGGTGAGGAGCGGAGATGAAATGAGGTCTGGACACGCAGTTGGATGTAAAGCCCAGTAACTACGATCAATTCATTTGTCAATGCATGGCTCTGCAATCCTTCACGCAGAACTGGGCACCCATGCAGGAGAGTCCGCACAGAGGTGAGGTTCCAAACTCAGAGCAGCTCAATTCAGCCCATCCAGTTTCGTGATCTCAAAAGATTTGTCTTTCCGTCTCTGGAGGTGATCAGGTTTGCATGTGTGTCTTTCAATTCCAGCTTTATGTTTGCCCTGACGCAGAAGGAGAAAGTGGAAGCAAATGAGACAGAAGAGGGAGACGAAAATAATGAAGGTCCTTTTAAAAGGAAGAGAGATGGTAGGAAACATCTCACCCCCTTCTTTGTAGAGATTCGCCTCCATTGACATCTCATCCAAGAACATACTGCATGTGCTCGCCGATGGCCTGTGCCCATGTACACCCAGTAGACAAGCCAATCAATGTGTGTTGCTTTGAGGCCATTTACCTCTTTAGAAGTGTATTGCATTCAGTTGTGAGGTGTTTCTCTGGCATTCAGTAAGGAGTTGGGCTTTCGAAGGTGTTGGTCATATTGCTAGAATGCAGTAGGGATGGCCGTCCAATTGGTATGCACACGAGTGCACTAGTTGGTGCAGTTGTTGTCACTGCCAACGATGAGTGGGTATTGATATGAGTGGAGAATCGGCGATTGTGTAAGTGAGGGTGTTATGGATGGAGGTAGATTTATTTAAAGCAACCAAATCAGTTGTAGCATTTGAGGGAGGTGAGGTAGTGGTGGAAAATGCAGTAGGTGGAAGGGTGTGTAGATACACATTGCAGCCTATTTCTCTACAAAGCAGATAATACGATGGCATTTATTTTCAGCCATTTTTGGACATTGGATTCCCCTGTCATGAATTGCTCCTGAATGATATGAGATAACAGTTGAGGACTGGGTTCAGAGGCTTCCACCTGGCAAATCCTTGCCCCATAATTGGACTCCACAAAACCATCGATGCTATCAACTCACGCAGGTGGTTGGATAAATTATAAAGTAGTACTGTAAAAGTTGGTTTCATATAATGCCAAAGAATGATAACAGAGTGAACCTGACTTTGTCGACGAATATTTTCACTCAACGGGTTGAGGAAAAAAACTGAGGAAACGTGACTGAATAGAATGCTGGTCTGAATCAGATTGAGTCCCAGGCGGTGGTCAGCCTAAAATCAAATCTGATGAGTCACCTCATGACCGCTGCTTGTTTTGAGGTCATGATCTTGGGTAACCAAAGCCCAACGCCTGTGGCCTTAAACATGTCCTTCGACTTCACACCCTGAAAATGCGGCTCAAAGAAACTAATACCATTTGATTACTTGCCATCTAGATGGTGTTGTCGCCCTACGTACAACCTACAATTCAATAGTCTATTGAGAATTATCATATGTGCCAACTATCTCACGTACTTTTGCTCCGTATCTCAGTTATTGTTACTAAATTACCTAAGCAAACTTCCATTTGTATTTTAGCACAGGTTTTTCAAAAGACCATTTACTTGGATGCATCGAAGTGTCCATCATTTTGCATATTCTTCTCGTCTGCATTTGTTCAAAAACTGTAAGATTATATGCAAAATAAAGGACAAAATAAGGGCGAAAATTAGGAACTAGCTTAAGTTTATATTCACCCACAATGCGTGATTAACAGTGCAAGGATTGGGCGATTACTATTGTGGAAAATAAGGTGTCACTAACATGATGGAGCAGTAGGACTCAGGAGGGTAGAATGTCCCTTGCACCTGGTCTGTGCAGTGTATGCAAGATGTGTCGGAGGGATGAACTTATGTGGTGTCTGTGGAACAAGCTCTCAGCCATTTGACAATGCCTCCTTCTCCAATTCTTGGGGTTTTAAGGCCGATTATTTAACTCTAAACATCTGGTGAAGGAATTGTCTACTAACTCCTACGCCGGGGCGTAGGGTTCGCTAATTTGCAGTGGGGAAGTTATTTACTTGCACTATTCCGCAAAAGTTGGCTTTTTTATTTAATTTGCACTAAAATAAACTGGCACAAATTTGGTGACCTCAGATAATCATGGTAAAAGTATTTAACTTGTTTATTTATTTCTGGAAGATTTAAGTTATTTTAGCTAATAAAGCGGCTGGAATTGTAATTAGGGAAATGGAATTTGGCGGATTCCTTACTATTCAGTTCAACAGTACCGCATGTTGTTGTTTCTTCACTGTCGCTTTAGCCGTCTGTTTGAGATTATCGGATGCCCTATTAGAATGTTGGTTTGGATGGCACACCGACAGTGTACCAAAGATGTGGTCTTATTTATGGTATTAGCAGAGCAAGAAAGTTCGTGTGTCATTTGAATTTTGAAATGAAACAGTCATCCCAGGAAGTAATCATCAAAAGAGTGTGGATTGCAGTGTGCAACTCTTTGCCAACGGGACTCGGGTGTGCTTCCAATTCTGTTGCCATGCAATTGTTTGCTTTAAGGAGCGACAGAGTGGTACAAGCTGTTGGACGATGACGTGGTTCGCGATGCTGGCGTGTGAGTGGGTGGTGGGTAAGGAGTCTGGGGGGAAGTAATATTAGATTCGTTCGCCTATCAAGCATTGGAAGGGATTGCATAGGTCATTTCTCGTCAGGATGCAGTCGAATGTACAAGAGCTGTTTTAATCAATTGTGCAAATGACGGTAATGTGCAAATTGGCAGTCGTAGTCTGTTATCTGCTGGTGGGCACATAAGCAACAGGCCGAAACGCATTTGTGTTACAGGTTTCGCGACTTTTTCCTCACTCACGTGAAGTAAAAGTGGAAGTCGTTCATGTCACTCATTAGATAAGATGTAGCACAAAATGTCAGCTTGAGTGGATCATTACCAGAATCCAGCTGTTTGAACCACTTTTGAATGGTGCATTCTACTGTCGTACCTTTGTCAACTGCTGTACAGCGGACTTCCTTCCACTGGACTCCGCTGTTTTGTAATTGAATTTGTGCGGCTTTACAAGAGAAGACAAGCTACAGTTCATGCGCACTTCGTTTAGCCAACATTTGATGAGTGTTGATAGAAAGAGGAAAATGGTACAGAGCACACTGAGGGGTGGCATGGCAGTTTGCTGAAGCAGAGGCATCGGTGCTTGGTTTGCATGTTTGGAAGCTCCTACAAGTTGTATCAAGTTGCCGAATCGAGATATGTGGGGACCTCCACATAACTTTAGCTTGATAGGTAGATCGAGGAGTGAATAGGAGAGGGTCATCATAAAAGTCACTCTAAGATTATTCCTTATTACAACAAATTTCGCCTTACTTAGTGGTGGAGAATTGAAAAGCCTGCTGCAGTAGGTTAATTTGTTGTTTTGCTGTGTGTACAAGACACTTCAGTTCCGAAATGCTTCACCAACCCATGTTCCATTCATTCATGCCTTCACTGCCCATCCATCCCTCCATCCACTTTGCATCCATTCATTCATCGATGCCTCCTGCCCTTGTACTTTCTTTCGACTATCCGGAAATATTTCTTCCATCGCTCCGTATACGTTGACTCCACCCATCCACACAGCGTATCCGTGCTTGTGTATATCAAGTGGGTTTTCACATTAGGGTGGATGTGGTGATTAGTTGTTTGCCTGGATTACCAGATGACTACTGGAAGTAGTCGAGTACTACGTCCCTCACACCTACCCACTTACTTACCCACCTAAGCCACGATTACTTGTGTAATTAGCCTCTGAACATTGATGCCTATCGTCTCGCGGATCCCAAAACGACTCTCCGTCTGCATGAGATTTAGCGTCTGACTGATTATCTCCTTTGGTAATAAATGAATAAGAGGAGAAAACACAGTCGACAAATAACAGTCAGATAACACTATCATCACCGCAAATGACGTATCTTTGCAGAAAAGGGTTGATATCTATAAGCATCCGGTATTGGGCGGCCTCTTGTCAACCACACTCTTTGTCCCGTACTGCAATTTCCCAACACCTGCTGAAGGTATCAGGTGGTCGACTTCAGTTATCTTGCAGTAACTTTCAAAGTCCTAATGTCGTAATGTGCTTAATGACAGATGAAGTTGATCTGCGAACGTCGTTTCCGCTCTCGTGCTTTGTCAAATGCCAACAATCCTATCAAATCAATTTTGCTGTTGGAGGGGCAGATAATAATGGAGAGGTAAATCAAATTCCTTTAATTTAAATTAGTTATAATAGTGGCAATTACTTCAAAACATTTATGAGGATTGAAACTTACAAGCATAGACTCGAACGATTGCTATTTATTTAAAAGACGCATGATTATTTTGATTAGGTTACGTTCCTTCTGAATGGAGTATGGCTCTGTGGATGGAGAGGAATTGAACTCGTGCGTAATGAAAGCGTAGTGTGTAGTAAGTTTAACACGTCATAAATTGAATTGGTTATATGCATTCTGGAGTTTATTATGTGTGCACTTTGGACAAATCAGAAGAGTATAAAAAGATAATGGCGTCATTTCAAACACTTTGACAATCACATCTTGCCGTCTTCTTAAGACCACATTCCTATTTGTACTACTTTAAAGTGCATTTGCTGAACCGATGTTACTGCTTAACTTCGCAGCTGTCTTGGAGAAAAACAAGACTTCCAATTTGGGGGTTTTCCACGGAAAATCCCCTCCAATACCTCCTATAATGCATGCCACTTTCGTTTGGGCTTCTAACCGCTTATTTTTGACAGTGGCTAGTAGGAGAATTTCACATTTGCCAATATGCCTATTGTAATAAGAAGTATTAAATAGTCCTTTTCTCTTAATCTAAGTGTATTCGCCGGCTAACAAAACAGTCTAGTGGTGCTGTATGCGCACTTTTAATGCTGATGAATGCGGCTGTGTTCATATTTTATTGTCGGGAGGGACTTCTTCGGGTGAGTGCATATTTGGCTAAACTTGCCGATACAACCTACAAAATGACATGCTGCGACTGCGTGCCTTGAGTTTATGCCCCTTCCAAAAACAATTTATCTTAAACGGCAAAAGCGCCACTAAGTAAGTCGAACAGACGATTACAAAGTAGGTAAGCTAAAATTTGGATGTGGGCACCCAAACTGACGGTTTATTACATGTTGCCTTATTTGTCATACCTTCATCACACAGGACGTGTGCTGGCCCACACTGTCGGCGGTAAGTTAAAAATTTGCGCGGCCAATGACCTGAAAACATTAAACCCTCCATGCATGACTGATTGTACATTCCACAAAAGTACTTCTTTTCTATCATGCAATTGTTTACATAAAATGCATTTGTTTTCCAAGGCTATAAAATAGTGTTGAGAAAAACGGGTTTGCATTTAACTGGCAAAGCTTTGTCAGATTTGGTGTGAATACTTCTACCAGTCTAGCAATACTTTGTTCAAAACAGATCTTATATCTTGCCCTTTTCAAATTTCAAGCACAAAATACTGAGGCAAACTGTTGCATTATCGACTTATGTAGAGCTTCGTGCTGAAATAGCCAAGTTCGTTTTTTTGGCGTGCTTGGCTCAGTGTTTTGCTGGCAATTTTGGAGATGTGGTAACTTTGTGGACGAATGAAGTGCATCCTTTGGGACTACATGCAGCTGATACTCTGCTTTCCCTTAACGAACTTGGCAACTTTCTTCCTCACAAGTAAACTTTTATTTTTTGTTAGGTTTTTCAAACTTTCAATCATATTCCCTGTATTACTGCCTAAATTGCACTTATATTCATAAAGCATTTTTAATTCCTCAAAACCTCTTCATTTTTAGACCCATAAAGTTTTAAATAACCAATCGTGTATGGGGACGAATTCAATTTCACTCATGAACTAAGGCATGTGTCTTCTGTCAACAAAGCGAGACCACGTGTTGCACAGTGTTCTCTCATGGCCTTTTCTTAGGTAGGGTACACTTTGAACAGGTCGAGTGTAAATGAGGTGAAGGTAATTAGCCGGAACAGGAACCCTCGTAAAACAGAGAAACAATTCTTATTAGAACAATTACTTGAGATTTTTGTTTATGGCAAGCAAGAAAATTCAAATTTTGTTACGATGTGTAGGACAATTGACAATTCCTGTTTCAGGGAACAATGCCTTCATTTAAAGGCACCTGTGATAGGAGTAGTGTGTGGGCTAATTCAAAGGAATACTGGTGTGCCCCAACGTTGTTGAAGTTTGTCATGTTGGGCACTAACACATGTTTTTCTCATTCCTCAATTCACTGCGTGCTACCGGAACGAGTACAATGCCGTCAAGGTACACCGACATTCCTCCGAAATTCTTCACTTTGCTTTCTTGCCACCTGTGATGTTTAAATGAAGCCTGAGATTTACGCAATGTGATTGCGAAATATAGTGTCAAATGATTACAGGCGAAGATGTCGTGGAGTCAAATATCGCAACCTTGCACTCCTTTAGGTGCTAGTATTTCGCTTTAAAATAGAAGCCGATTACTAGCAAAACTAAATAATTTTTCCTGCTTTTCCGACAAATAAAGTAAGCTTACCTTACTCCTCTATCACAAGTTCAAAGAAACAACAATTTGACTAAACTGATATTTCAATACATTTAATTCGAAGTGAAAGCTTAAAGAATTTACCACCTTTATTTTGAGACCTGTGACCATGCGGAAAATACTGCTTCCTGTTCGGACTCCCTGCATTAATGCCCTAAGTAAGTCTTAGCAAATTCGGAAATGGAACAGTGCTGTTGCGGCATTTTGAAAGATAAAATTTGAACTATCATTTTGTTCCACAGCGGCGCGTGGAACAAGCGTTTTGTGTTTTGCAAATATCTTTGCCAATTTTTAACAGATTTCCTTGTGAATTCACAATCGGACAACTTTAGCCGACAGATCTACGCAAAACCATGGGATTTGCTAGTGAAAGAGCTCAACTGACAATCCGCATTTTTTAAAGGTTGATGTCAAAATTTGTTTTAAATCCCAAAGCTCCCTTATGTCGCCAACTCTAAGGCAGCAGGAAGAAACTGGCTTCAGGCAGTTAAATAACCTGCATTTTGAACTTCTGATCAAATTTAAGCTAAAAGTTGACAGAGCTGATTATGGAATCGTTTGTGTTCTTTTGGGCTGCCGCACTTTGGGACTGATTAATTGGCCGATTTCTGTCTCATTTATGCTATAATTAAAGCGCACTGTATTGTTGGAGAAGTAGCACATAACTGTAATTAGAAGGATGTTGCATGTGATAGTTTTGTTTTGTAAGCCACACTCTGCTGGACAGGTGCACTGAAATGTTCTCTGCAAATTTTGTCACCCATAGTGCTAATTTCCCATTAGATACCAGAGAAGTTGCTCTATGCTTATAGATATAACCAAGCAGACGGGAGTTCCATTCAGGACAAATCAATCTGCCTATTATATTTAACCAAACACTTAGGATTTTTGAAGTGATATCATTGAAAATAGGCAACGTCACAGCACTGGTTCTAATTGAGTCCGATATTCGCATCTTCATTCCACGAACTGAGGAGCTGCATGCTGAATAACTCAACTGCATTTTAATAAAAGTTGTTATTTCTAGTCTAAAAAATAATGCAATTGAGGGAAGGAGAGGGAAATCAGTAAGAAGAGAGTCGAGTAGAATTAAAAAACCCGTTTCATTCCTGTGTGAAGAATTATCTGCTTCATTCCCTGGTTTTAAAAATATGCTATGTACCATGTAAACATAACAAGTCTTGTATAGACTGGAATAAGTTGGATAATGTATTATGAATGGATGAGGGAGATGCATTTGTGCGGAGTGACAAATTTTGGCATGCTATGGGTGAAAAAGCCAATTCAATCACTGCAGCAAACTGGACCGCAAGGTGAGTTTGATCCAAATTCCACAAGGGAAAGACAGCTGGAAACTAAATTACATTGCTGATGCATATATACTTCTACATAATGGTTAGAGAGGAGGTGTTCACCAAAATGACGTTTTGCTTTCAAATTCGAGGTTACCTTAATATGTGGCAGTATAGTTGACTGTTTTCTTCTGCATCTGCAAAGGACTAGGAGCTGTCACTCACCAATTTGTGTGTAATTGTCCAACGTGGCCAAATCCGGCTTTTGGGTAGTCCATATAAAGCTAACATGAGTTG